AATGATTAAAATTGGAATATTAAAATATGTGTGTAAAAACTAATGATTATTTTGTCAATTTATGTTTGAGTAAGTGGATGCTCACTGTGTTCTTTTGATCCTTTGCTATCATAAACTCATGAGATCAACAATTATTAAAACCACATTGACTACTAATTTTCTTCCCACAAGCTGCTTTCCACAGGATTATTTCTTATAAAGCTAAAATAAAAAGACTTGAGGAGTCAGAAAATTATGGTTATATGACAGTAAATAAGAAACTATCCTGAAATAAAAAGACATTTTTATTAATGACATTTTAAAACTTGGTTTTCAGGATTATAAATGTGCCCACTCCAGATTCTTAACTCTTTATTAAGAGGTTTCTGTCTTCAAAGTTTTGAGGCATTGGCTAATTAATTCATCCTTGCCATACCACTGAGAAATAGGAAAGCAAATCAAATGTGAATTGGGTATATTTAGGATGATAATTCTTGTGTTATTAAAAAAATTAGTAGAGATTATAATAATTAGTGTGAAAATGAATATCAATTAGCTATTAGCGTAGAAAAAATATGTAAAGAAGGCAAGAAGAAGTATAGGCACACTCGGAAATCTAGGAGTATGACCCTGAATGAGTCTGATAGTCTGTTGCCAGCAGAAATTTTAATGGGATATGTTTTGGGAAAGCATGACGTGACCTTAAGACACAGTCATATATGGATGTAGGTGCCGTAAATTTCCTGCAAACCACCTAGACTCTGTACACCTCTACCAACTCTTCAAAAATGTTTCATAAATTTATTTTCTGCCATATAAGACGTAATACATCTTTTGCTTGTCTCAAAGTTACCATTCCCCCTTCTTTCAACTAGTTAACTCTTCCATAGATTTTGAGAAAGTAGTTAGCAAATTCAGTTGATTTTATTTATGCCTCTTATGTTCTCCAATATTTTACTTCTGAGCTTTTATTTTCTATTTTGGCAAGACTCTTAATCCATTTATTGGGTCTTCCCAGCACCGTTTTCTTGAATCTTTTTTTTTTTCTTTCATGTTAAATATTTCTTAAAGGATGAAATCCAAGAACACATAATGTTTAAGCTGTAGCAATGGCACCATTTTTCAGTATCACATTTAAAGAAATGTCATTGACATTGCTTTTTATGACAATGCCCAGGGTTCTGTTATTCTTTTCGGTTGCAGAAGATTCGTTTGTTTTTTATATTATTTGAGGTCATTTATTATTTAATTAAAAGATGCATAGCAAATTAGTGACACAGCAAGTTTTCTTATTCATACCTAACCAAAATAGCTCTTCTTCCTGCATTCATAATCTCAATTGGTGACACTATAGTTCACCAGTCACCCAACTAGAAATCTGTGCTTGACTCTAGATGTCCCTCACTTACTCCCAACTTTTATGTCCAATTAATCACAAAGTCCTTCTTGTAGGATAGGATAGATTAGTGTCCCAGACTCCTGATCTCCAGTGAAGTGATTCTGAGGCATGTTTTTTTTTTTTTTTTTTCTCTCTACTGTTTCTTAGTCCATGGGTACTGAGGTCCAACCACCTATAATGATAACATGTCCAATACTCTACCTACCATTGATTTTTCTGTTTTCCTTGCTTTGCTTTTTCTACTTCCTTGAGCAAGTGCCATTTGGGATCAACTTCCAAATAAACTGCCTGCCCCTAAGTCCTTATATAAAGATTGGCTTTGGGGGTAATCCAAACTAAGCCGAAGCTTGAAGAATATGGAAGCCATGACTGACCAAGGCTGAGAGAATATTGCCGTCAGGAGGATGTCACATATATGCACCACAGCCCAGAGTTAAGGGTAGCATGTGCAAGGAACTAAAATATGTTGCCTGGGGCTGGCTGGAGCAGAGAGTATAAGGGTGAAACTTAGCAAGTAGTAGGAACAAGTTCATGGTGTGCCCTAGAACTCATGTTCACTATGTTGACGTGACTCTGAGTGAGAGTGGGATTCTAGATTGAATGATTTGAAGTGGGGGAGTGATACGCTAGATAATACAGAGCAGCAAGCCCTGATCATTTTGGTACTAGGGATTGGTTTTATGAAAGACGATTTCTCCACAGAGGGTAGGAGGGGATTGTTTTGGGATGATTCAAAAACATTACATTTATTGTGTACTTTATTTCTATTATTATTATGTTATAATATATAATGAAATGATTATACAGCTCACCATAATGTAGAATCTGTGGGAGCCCTGAGCTTGTTTTCCTGCAGCTAGAAGGTCCCATCTGCAGATGATGGGTGACAATGATGGATCATCAGGCATTAGATCTCATAAGGAGCATGCAGCCTAGATCCCTTGCAAGTGCGCTTCAAAGTAGGGTTCATACTCCTCTGAGAATCTAATGCTGCCACTGCTGATCTGACAGGAGGCAGAGCTCAGGCAGTAATGCAAGCCATGGGGAGCGGCTGTAAATATGGATGAAGCTTTGCCGGCTTGCCTGCTGCTCACCTCTTGGCTGCATGGCCCATTTCCTAAGAGGCCATGGTCTGTTGCCTGGGGTTGAGGCCCTGGCATAGAGAATGAATTTAAAGAAAAATAGAGCCATGATATTTATGAGGAAGTTATTGCAATGACAGTGACCTATGCTTGGAGAAGAGTATCAGACTGGTGAGAAATGAATGGATTACACAACTCTTTAGAAGACAGCATCATCCTAAATTGCCATTATGATTCCCTATCAGAGTGAAGCAGGCAATGGTGGTAACTAAGGAAAACTGGTCTTTTAAACAGGGAAGCATTTCAGTCATTGGTGTTACTCTTCAGAATTACTGATGTGTTTGCAAATTTCCTTTGAATATCTATTTGTCCTCAAGAAAAGGTCTTTAACTTATATCTGTATCCGTGTATCTTTTTCTTTCTTTTGAGACAGAGTTCCACTCTTTCACCCAGGCTGGAATGTAATGGTCTGATCTCCGCTCACTGCAACCTCTGCCTCCCAGGTTCAAGCGATTCTCCTGCCTCCATTTTAGTAAAGACGGGGTTTCACCATGTTGGCCAGGCTGATCTCAAACTCCTGACCTCATGATTCACCCACCACAGCCTCCCAAAGTGTTGGGATTACAGGCATGAGCCACCATGCCTGGCCATATCTGTGTATCTTAATCTAATTCCAAACATATTTAAATACTTGCAGTGGCGGAGAAGCTCATGTTATAGCCTTTTAGTTTGTGTTTGGTGCTAATTGATAGGGTTCATTAGTGATATATGTTTAAATCAAACTCTGACTCTGAAAGTAAGAATGCATAAGGTAAATTTTACCAGTTTACTGATGAGCATGGAAATAAATGAGAATGATGGAAAACAATATACTAAGCAAGTGCTTTCACAAAATTATTCCTGACGTCTTTGAGATAAATGATCCTGCCATTGAACCCTTCTTTCATTTTAGGGTTCTTAGTGACCACTTATTTCAGCTAGCTCCGTGAAAATGGGTTTTGTTGTTCCTATTAGCACAAAATAAAAATGATCATAAATATTTTATAAAGATGAGGCTTGCATTAAAAAGAAAAGAAAACCTAATTGAAAGGCACTTTATGAGTGATTAATTTCATGCCAAATAAATCATTAGAAATTCATGATGGCTATAAAAAAGCAATCATTTGCAAAATTGGAAAAAGCTAAATTCAATCTAGATATACATTTCTAGTTTTAAAATTTGTGTATGGGGTGATATACCAACTGCAGAATTTTAACGTAATAGCCTTTTATTATAGGGAGGTTGTACTTGCATGCTGTTGAGCTCTCAACCAGCGAATTACTTTCCCTCTGAATACTTCTATTTCATTTGATCATCTGTATTATATTAGGTTGGTGTAAAAGTAATTGCGGTTTTTGCCATTACTTTTAATGTTTCTCTCGTTTCTTGCCTAATAATAATATATCTACTTAATATCATTTCAAATATATAACAAAGATTAGTATTTTTATATGTTATGGTTTTTAACATTTTAAAATATATTATTTTTTAAAAAGTAGACAACATATACATGTACTTTTAAATATTAACAGCTGCAGCATCAGGCCCCTTTTTAGGAAAACAAAGGGTACAATCTATGAACTTTCTCCTTAAGTCTTTGTAATCTACTCCAAACCAAGTAAATGAAGCTCTTCGGTAACCAATATTGTTTATCCTACAACTCTGTGTTTTTAAGAGTGGACATAATATGGTACATTTGGAGAGCTGATTGTATTTAAAAGATAAAACTGTCTGCAGATCAGCCAGGCATGGTGGCTTATGCCTGTAATGCTAGTATTTTGGAAGTCTCAGATATGTGGATCACCTGAGGTCAGGAGTTCAAGACCAGCCTGGCCAACATGGCAAAATCCCATCTCTACTAATAATAAAATGAATAAATTTGACGTGGTGGCTGGTGCCTGTAATCCCAGCTACCTGGGAGGCTGAGGCAGGAAAATTGCTTGAACCCGGAGGGCAGAGGTTTCAGTGAGCTGAGATTGCATTACTTCACTCCAGCCTGGGCAAAAGAGTAAAACTCCATCTCAAAAATAAAAGTCTGCAGGTTTAGATCTGTTGGTCAGTGCAAGACATCTTCTATGAAACTGCTTTTCATTAGGGAATGCACGGAAAACAAATTAAATACATAACATAGTGTAACATAAAACCACTTTTGCTTTTTAATCCAATGAATCTTGACATAACATGCACTACTATTTTGGAGGAACTAGTCAAACTAAAAAGAACCTCAGAATAAGTTGGTCATCCCATGACTGAACTGATTATTCAGTGGACAGCTACAATGCAGTGGTGATGTTAACTTTATTCTTTTCGTATACTTCAAACCTTTAATTACCAAGAAAAATATTCTTTAGTATCACCGAGGACTTAGGCTTTAAAAGCGAACTACAATAAATGTGGGGTAAAGTAGAATCATCATTTTTGTTTTAAGTGAAAGGCTCTTCATTTTACATTTTCTATGCTGTACATTATTGATTTTCTTCTCTGGTGTTGTTCTTTGCAGAGAGTGAATCTGTCCTTCGATTTTCCATTTTATGGCCACTTCCTACGTGAAATCACTGTGGCAACCGGGGGTAAGTGGTTTTCTACCCATTCACCTTAAGTAATCTATGGTTTGACAACAGTTACTATTTTTAATTTACTCTATATTTCAAGATGGATATTTATTAAGAAAACCATTCTCTTTTCTCACGAAGTCGTAGGTATAAATAAAACCAAAGGAAGGGTATTGCTATTGGAAAAACTTTTCAGCAGAAAAAAAAATATTTATGATAATTTTCAAACTAGATCAACTCTGCTTTTCTTCTAAATTTTGATTCTTTTTTTTTTTTTTTTTTTTTTTTGGTATTATGGTAAGACTGTCCAAATGGCAGAAATTGGAATAGAGCTAGAAAGACAGACTGCTTACTGAAGCTGCTGGTGACTTTAATTTTCTTTTAATGTATGTAGTTGCTGTGTGTGTGTGTGTGTGTGTGTGCACACATGTATATGTGTACATATATGTGTATATATATACTTACACACATGTATATGCAAAAACACGCAACCATATGCACATTAGCTTTGATCATTTTTTCTTGACTATTACCTATTTTGATTGACAGCTCATTTGAGAGTCTTAAAATAAAAGCTAAAATCCAGCTCATATATTTTTTTAAGTTTATTTTTCTCCACAAGCTTGGAGGTTAGTTTTGAGATTAGCAATATCCTAGCAAAGTAATTATCATTCTTTATTGTATATCTCAGAATTCAGAAATATTTTAATCTTCAAGTGCTACTAGAAGAGATAAGCAAAATGCCAGAAAATATCCCTGTAAGTTTTATGGTGAAGGGGTAGGGAAGAAGGAGTAAAAAACAGAAAAATGGAACAGTAAGTAAAGAAGCAATTAAAAGAAATCCCATAGGTGTACAATGAGGCTGTGAGCGTGTGTGCCTAAAGTACTATAGACAGAGTCTCTTTCCTTCACTGCATCTTACCAGGAGTCTTCTGGATGGTGTTGAAACCATGGTGAGCATTGCCATATTTTTGCCATATTTTTGCCATACTTTAATATAAGACCTAGAAGATATGTCAAATTCAGAAGAAGATTTGTAATTAGAAATATCAACAAGCAAATGGAAGTTTTGTGAGCACCTACTCTAAGTGATGGTAAATAAAGCTACCTCTGCCTTAGAGGTGTACAGGTTAGTGGAATATTAGGCAAAGTGAGGCAGAATGTGGAGAATTGCTTAGGAAATTCAAATGATGAAATATGCCCAGGTGCAGTGGCTCACACCTGTAGTCCCAGTTACTTTGGAAGCCCAGGCAGGAGGATCACTTGAGCCCAGGAGTTTAAGACAAACCTGGGCAACACTGTGAGACCCCATATCTACAAAAACATTTAAAAAATTAATCAGGCATAGTGGGGTGCTCCTGTAGTCCCAGCTACTCAGGAGGCTGAGGCAGGAGGACCACTTGAGGCCAGGAGTTTAAGGCTGCACCGAGCTGTGGTCATGCCATTGCACTGCAGCCTGGCTGACAAAGCAAGACTCCATCTCTGAACATAATAAAATAAAATAATTATCTGGTATGGTGGCATGCACCTGTAGTCTTAGGTACTTGAGAGGTTGAGGCAAGAGGATCACTAGAGGTTAGGAGTTTGAGGCTGCAGTGAGCTATGACCACACCGCCGCACCCCAGCCTGGACAACAAAGCAAGATCCTGTCTCTAAAGAAAAAGCAAATGAAAATCAGAAAAAGAAAATACAGATGATAAGCTATAGGTTTCCAGGGATAGTATAACTCAGATATGTATGCGTCTTAAATGAGAGTCATTTAAGAGTATAGAAAAATTGTTGTTCAAGGTGTTTCTTGGACAGTATGAGAATTTCTATGGTTGTGTAGAGAAGGAAGAGAGGATCACAGAGAGGAAGATCCTGAGTAAATCTACATACGAGGAGGAGGGCTCGGTATGTTTGGGATAGTAAATAATTGAATTTGAGTTATGTCATTGGTATATTTACCAAAAAATGTGGCATATTAAGATTGGAAAAGTAGGTTGGGACAATTTTACAAAATGCCAAAAGGGATAGTTTGAGTCATTAGCCCTTAATTAAGTAATAAACTTCAGGAAGGTGAATATAGATGCATGTATAATACATTAAAGTGTAAAAATATTGAAGTTAGTACATTTAATTGGAAGAATATTGCTACCATTTTTGTGAAAAATATTGAAGCCCTTGGTGATTTTGTTGCTTCAACCCAAGGAAAATGAATCATGCCATTGGTACCAATTACAGAGTCAAGAAGTACTGGCTTTAGGGAAAACCAGTGGCTTCAATAGTGAAACTTAAATTTTGTATGAATAAAAGGACTGTATCTAAATGACATTGTTCTCAAAAAGTATGTCTTTTAAGCTTATTAGGTATATCCAGTATAGTGCCAGGCATTTGATTAATTTTGTTGAAGGGTTAAATGAAAAGAGTAAGAAGAAAATTGAAGGATGGCCCCAATAAGCCAAGAATCATATCTTGTCCTCTCATGTCATAAAATATAATAGAAATATGATGATCTTAAAATACAGATATTAGGCATGTTTTCTGAAATCTAGGTGACCAGTGTTCTCTTGAATTTTTAAAAACCGAACTATGAACCACGTGTTTAAAATGTGTACACCCAGTGGTAAAAATGACAGCTTTGTATTTTCAGTTTCTCAAATTGTTTTATCTTTAAGACTCATGTCAGCAATTCAGCCAATATGAAGTAAGATTTCCCCTAGCAGAGCTGGTAGGATCAGACCCAAACAGATGGCTATATTATCATTGTGACTTGAAAGTGCCATTTTCCTTTGTAAAGATCCTCAAAATAAGTGAAAAAAATCTGGTGTCCTGAATGATCTCTGTCTTCTTTCAAGGAGACACTAATGTACACTCCTTCTGTTTCTCTACTTAAAACATACTGGCATGCAACTTGCATAGGTCAATCTGTGCTCTGTTTAAAGAGGTAGAGCCAAGATAATCTACACATGGACCTGGGTTTCTTCAAAATGAAACCTGAGTCTCATGTAAAAGTTTCCCGCTAAGTACATCGCTTGCTTGCTCTTTCCTTGTTCATTTCATTCAATCATTATTTCTTGAGCTTCTATAAAACACACAACACAAGATGCTTTGTTATATACAGAGAAGGATAAGCTAAGTTCAGGAGGAGAATCAAAGAAGAGGAAGGGGTGTTGATAGGGTTTGGCTGTGTCCCCACCCAAATCTCATCTTGAACTGTAGCTCCCATAATTCCCACATGTCTTGGGAGGGACCAAGTGGGAGGTAATTGAATCATGGGGGCAGATCTTTCCTGTGCTGTTCTTGTGATTAGTGAATAACTGCCAGGAGATCTGATGATTTCATAAAGGGGAGTTCCCTGCCCACACTCTCTCTTGCCTGCCACCATGTAAGATGTGCTTTTGCACCTCCTTTGCCTTCTGCCAGGATTATCAGACTGCCCAGTCATGTACAATTGTGAGTTCATTTAACTTCTTTCCTTTATAAATTACCAAGTCTTGGTATGCCTTTATTAACAGTGCAAGAACAGACTAATACAGGCACGATGTGAATAAGCAATAGAGAAGGCTTACTGCAAGTGCTGAAAGAGCAGAAGCTTGCTCAAAAAGGAGATGATGCTTGTTGGGCCAGTCTTAAGAACAGTCTGGGAAAGTGCTAACCTTTGGCATCGGCCTTAAAGGAAGGCAAAGAGGCAGTTGAGAAGTGGAGAAGGAAGAGGCATTCCAGACAAGGGGATGCTGAGCCAAGTGACAGTGCTGAGCCCAGATTGGGCATATTTGGAGGGCTGTAAAGTGAATTAGTTTATCCTGAAGAGAGGGTTGGATTGAGTCTAGTGAAGGGGAATTGGGAAGAGTGATGTGGAGTACTTTGAACATTAGAAATCTAGGTGACATCCAGCAAGCACTGGGTTTCTCAGATAAGTAGATCTGGCCTGATCTGTAAGTGGAAAGGGTGAAGGGGGTGAAAGCAGAAAAAGCAGTTACCAGTTTTTTGAATACTTTCTCATGGGATACGGTACCTGAACTAGGATGGGTACAGTGGAAAAAGACACATGGACCCAGTGTAAGACCCATCATTTGAGTTTTTAAATCACTGTGGTCAGAAAGACTTCCAACCAAAAGGATCCAGTAGGATGCAGTGAATCAAGCTAAGAACAGCTTTAAGGACTTCTGAGGCATGGACCTTTGATGGATCTCTTCTGTGATTGACCAGGCAGACCTTATAATCAGACAAACCTTTTTGACAGATGCTTACAATCTTAAAAAGGTTCTTAAGCATGGAAGGCTTGGAAGAAAAATGAAAACCACAAGTCAGGTTAAATAAAGTTGACTGCAGGCCATTCTAAATAGACCTGGGTCTGGGATTTCTTAGTAGAAACACAAAGATGCCTCTTTTGTTGACTGTCAATTTATTTTTGGGTTTACAAATTCCTCTTGAACCTGTTTCTACATTGGATATGGGAAAAATTAAAGTGATACGTTTTCATGGTGAATCCAAGCTGTGCAAATAAATAAAATGAATGCTTTAAACCACAATCCTTTTCATCTTACTTCATGGTTTTGCCATTTCCCATATGTCCTTGAAATCTCTCTCTCTCTCTCTCACCACACAGATACAAATTTAAGATTGAAATTAAGTCAAGATAATGTCTCATGTTATTGCTAGGATCAGCACAATTTAAAAATGGAAAGTTGTTTAACAATATAGACATATATATATAGCTTACCATGGCCCGTCTTTGTATGTTATACGTATCTTACTATGAATAAGCTTAAGTTTCTAATTTAAAATGTAAATCACAACTAAACATCTGCTCATTTATTTATAAACTATAAAAATAAAATCTTTGCCTATTAAGCATTTTAATATTCAAAAGCTCCAATCATCCATATGTACAAAATGAATTGAAAATATCATCTTTATTTTCTGGTTCACTGATAGTGAAATCTGAAAGTATTCATTTATCTTTCGATGTCAAAAATACTTCAGAATACAAATATTTCAGGCACTAGAAAACTACTTCTCTGTGAATTTCATTA